CTTAGACAGTGGGTTCAAGGTGGCCCATGTAGCGGACGGACTGTCTGCGTCTCCATGGGCTCTATATTCTCACCTGCTCTCTTGCGTCAGCGCCAAGCTCTCATCGTCAGCAATACTTCACCGCTTTTGAAAATACGCTTCATTAATTTCGGTGTTGACAGCGATTTCTTTTAATTTTTTTGTCAATAAATCACAAGTAACTTGGAATGTGCTTTTAAAAATCTTGTGGTTCATTTTCTCAAAGTGATTAACCAGTACCGGAAGCAGTGGGTCCATAGAACATATAAACGAGTGCTGTCGTACGAGACCCCAATGAAAGGGTTCACGTTCTCATGACTTGAGTGCTTGATCTGAAAAATCACTTGGTCTCGTTTCCATCATTATTAATCGACCTGCAAACGATCTCTAAAAACCGCACTAATTTATGTAAATGGGGATGAGCGGTGCCCCCCCGATGGGTAGAGGCGTGCGGTTGCAGCAGAGTCAACCCTGCGTTGCGCAGTTCGCAACGGCACGTTGAGAGATCCTCAACGCACGCTGTATGGGCGGAGACGCAGACGGCTCGAGCATGCGAGTGTGAATGTTCGCGCGAGAGAACGTGTCTAATCGGGCGAAACTGCGCAACGTGGCCGTTGAGAACTGCGCAACGCAGGGTTGACTCTGGTCTGGAGTATCAATTATGTAATGTAGCGAAGGAATGGTTCTTGTGGCGGCTTTTGTGAGTAGTTACCCTCATTGCGTTTTCGTTGGGCATATTCAAAAAAATGGGCGAGCTTGTCGTGGGCGGATTCTGTCGTATTCGGCGTATTCCTCGAAATAAAAATGAGATGTATTGTAGAAGGCGTTTCCGCTTGGTGAAACTCTGTTTGACTCTGTATTACTGTATCTCCGCTAGTTCCGTGAATACACAAAAGAACATAGTCATTTTTATATGATACGGTATTGAATGCGGTGGATTGACTTAGGTCATAAGTTTTATAGTTCTCACCTTGAGTAGAAGATCGATATCCTGTTTGAAGAATACTAAACGCTCTTTTAAAGCGATAGTTTCCACAAGAACATACGTCTGATTAATTGTCGCTAGTTGTCGCGTTCGTAGAAAATCACGCATTTTCACCTGAACAATCATATACCGTACATGGACAGCGGCTGAATGTCGAAGTAACGTGCCCACACCTTCGTTTCCATGTGTTCGTTCAGGCTCAGAACTGACAGCTGTTGACTCTGAAAAACTCCGTTTTTTTATGCCAACAAAATCAAAGCCAGTGAAATAAACGTATAGGGGACAGAAGAAAAAGATTCACTCACCCTCCCACTTAAAATGGAATTAATTACTTTTTTTCTAAATTGAAAAACCGAAAGATCTCAACTGAAAATTGAAGAGCACTTCTCTACTCTTCTCAAAACTTCATAATATCCTCCTACTCCTGCGACCTCAGAAGATTTTGCCTCAGGAACGAGGTGCCGGGTAGGAGCTCAACGGGGTCGTGCACAGCCAGAGCTCTCTAGAAGCTATTCACCACTAATCGATTGAAGAAATTATGTAGCAGCTTCAGGCTGGAGCGATTACGGTAGGCCTCGTTGAGCTCGACGGTGATGGCAGATGACGTCATATTCTGAAGACGGTGAGGCAGTGAAGGAGGGCCTGCTTCTGCTTATGGGGACATCTAAGGAATATTTTGCCGTAAAGTTCCCCCACCGGTATACAGGGTGGTCCAAAATTATGAGGACCGCGTGCGCGCGCAGTCATATCCACTTTTTTCCGTATCGCTCCATTTTCATCTCGTTTTCTGTGCACTATGTGAAAGGGTACAATGTCTTCTTCCTAATGAAACCAAATTTCATGAAGTTCTCAAAACTAGTGAAATAACTACTTCACTTTGAGTCAGTCCTCAAATTGAACTCACTAGGGGCTCTGGCACGTTACATCTAGCAGCAGTCTAACCTATCAGAGAAGCCCTTATGAGCAACAGTTCAACTCTTCAATAAGTTTGGAATCACCACAGATGGAAAATTCGGGGACTCGAAAGTTACAGTTACCACCAGGATAATTATCAGATGCAGAAACTAGGTCTCCCCTTGTCGACTTTCGTGAAAAAATTGATGTGAAAACCCAGCCAGACACTCTAAAGACTCCACATCTGTAGTGGATAGAAAGCCACACGAGTAGTCTACTTGGGACTTCTTACAGGACCGAGCACCCAAGAATAAAGCAAAAATTCTCTAAAAAGCGATTTTTCGAGTTCGTTGCTTTCGAAGAATTGTTACAATGGAACCATCCACCTAATAGCTCTAGATTTCTGTATTTCACACCCTGGATGCAAGCGCAAATAAATGCAACACAAAAGTTTGATTCCCTGAAGAAGGCAGAGCAGAAGGCCTGGAAACATTCCACCGCACGCGCCATCCCCCTCATCCGAAGGCTCGTGTTAACGGGGGAAGTGGCAGATCTCAATTCTATTCTGGAATTACTTTGAGGTAAGAGTTACAAATACTTCCCAGAAGTTGGTTTGTTCCATCAAGCTACTATGCGTTTTTAACGACACAATGTCTTGGTCCTCATAATTTTGGACCACCCTGTAAAACATTTGGTGAAGTCTGGCTTTTCGTGTTCCGAGAGCGCGCGCAGCAATCCGAGGACGGAAGCCGAAATTACTCCATGGTGACGCGATATCCAGGTCAATAAATTTCAACGTAGGAAACGCGATCGCCCAGGGCATTTGCATGGATTCGATGTTCTTTCTGAAATGAATGCACTTATGTCTACCTTGAAATGGCAAACAATTGAATAGCATTACATTTTCCGGAAGCTGACGAAAAGTCCGATACACAGAGCCACGGCTGCCAACATTATGAAAATGACCAGAATTGTCCTGAACAAGAAATTTCTTCGGCTGATCTCATTCAGGAGTCGTATCTAGCAGTACACGGCTTCTAGAAGCATGAGGTACCCTGGAACCCTCGTCTCGGCTTGGATGTTTCTCCCTATTCATGACCATGGAGATCAAGCTTAAGGACTAGATAACAGAAGAAGCAGAGTTCTGGAGGGATCCACCCCCTGCTAAGTTTTGACCTCCAGGCTGGATGCTCCACATGCACAGGATGTGTATTGAATGGTTGAGAAAAAAGTACCCGGTCTGGTCGCAAAGCTCTCCAGTGAATCCACACGTGGGCATATCTTCTCGCAGAGGTAGGTTCGCATGAGATAGATCGATTGACTGAAATTATGTGTAGAATGAATACGAAATTAGTATTTCTGCTTGAAATGTGTGACTTAGTAGATTTGTTCGAATTTTCACACAGCCGCTGTTCTTGGCCCGTTGACTCCGAGATCAATGGCCACGAATCACGAGGCGCAATTAGTTCATGGGCAGAACGTTCGACCTGCGCTTGGAAGCAATGACAGCGGTACAGATATGTGGGTAAAGGAAGCATTAGGCAAAGAACACGCGTCTTCCGGAGCTGCGATGAATGAAACGCCACTCATAACTCACGTCCTGGGTTAGACTGCCATCGATAAGCCTTGCTGGATTATGGGCAAAACACTCCGCCCAGAGAAAATCGTCCCCTTTCCGTTCGGTCGTACAACAGATTGCACCATCGAGGTACCGTCCTACCACAAAAGACAGCCCCGACCAGTTTGGAAAATAATTCCTTGCTGTGGATGAAGTTGCTGGTACCACTACTGTATAGGGTTCGTACCATTTCCACGCGTCGGTATGCGTCACTAGGATGGTAGATTTCACGGTTCTAATTCGGCGTGTGCCTGATGGACCCTGGACGCCCTCCGTTAGCGGCACCTCCATCTGTGTTGTCTCCTGCTATCAGGTCTCGGGAATAACTTCCATGTCTGCCATCGTCCTCATACTGGCTAGTTTCCTAGCATCAGACGCCCTCAGGCCGATGTCAGACTTTGCGAATCGCGCGATCTGCGCAGTCCGCGGTCGCGTTGCGGTACCAGCCAATTGAGTGATTCACTGGCCGCGACGCGACCGCAGACGCTAGCGAATCGCGCGATTCGCAAAGTCTGACATCGGCCACAGCGTGAAACAAGGAGGCCCCTATTTTCGGTGTTTTTGATGGGTTCTGTTCTTTTGCCTGACATGACGCTCTAGTCCCTATCCCTACCAGGGTGACCGGTCGAGGATCTGTTGAGGATTCTCTCTTGTTCGGTCACGCTCTCCAGCGCGCTTATTCACTCTCGCCCCGCGCGAGCCATCTGTGCCCACGCACGTACGTTCACTCTCGACGCTTTTCTCACGCAGTATAGTGAGGATTGCCTCGAACGCGATTCCTACTCTCATATTTCGAGTATAGTTACCATGTCAGCTTGGTCGACGAATTGCCCTCGACCAGGTTCTCTAATGGCATGTTTACCATACATTATCGACACCTAAAGGCAAACCCCGGGATTAAACTGGTGCTATCAGCGCTTCGTGGTGATAGCTTAGCTGCGGAACGACCTGAAAGTGGAAAGGAAAGCAAGAGAAATCTTTGGGAACGCTGAAATTAAGGCCTTAACCTTCAATAAGGTCGGATGTGGTACGATGGCGAGACAGGGCGGTCAAAGAAGACAAAACACGCGAGAGAGCACGTCGTTTGAGAGAGCACGCTGATCTCACCATCGCGGTGGGTGGGAAGCGTTGCAACGGGGGTCGATGGTTGCAGGCCCGTAAGGATTAGCGCCCTAACCGCGCAATTTTTGCGACGAAGCTGGAGTGATCTAGGTAGGTACGGACCTTACAATTTCCCTCGTGGTATCCCTCCTACTAGTCGGGCTAATCCCGGGGTTTGCCTTTAAACGTACAAGCGCCAGCCGTCATCGGCCGTAAGCCGCGGAGCTAGAAGCTTTAGTAGATATTACACAGCGAGGTGCAGGTTCGATACCGGCTTGGGACGAGAGTTCTGTCAGTAACCCAGCATCTTTGTAACAACTTTCGCAAGGCGAAAAGCGCCAAAATGGCAGCTGACGGATCAAAATAATTCAAATACTGTCATTGATATAACTATGTTTGTGTAAAACAGGAGCCAATTACCAGACACGCTCCAGTATGACAATCACGTTCAATCTTGGGTTTGGCAATGAAGCTGTAGCCCGAAGAGTTTATGTAGCCGAACGAGAACGGAGCAATGCGTTGAGCATGGTCGTTAAAGTGGATGGCGCCGAATGGTCCTGAAAAAATCACCTAAAGTTCAATAATCGAAAGTATACAATTCTCATCTGCTCATGAGTTGCTCGTTTGAAGTTTTTGTTGCACGGTATGGAGGGGAAAACGGTGGGGTGTCAAGCTACCACGGCTCCACCGCGTGAGAGTGTTAGAGTACTAACTTGCACGTTGGTCCCGTAACCAGCCCAAAAACTCAACAATAATAGATGTATAGCCCAGCTCGTTTAACTCTACAGTGTTCCTAAACAGGAATAGGATGCACCTCCACCGCTTTTCACGATGAAACGCAGTCCATTGGAAATCAAGGTAAAGAATGTCAGTGGTACAGGGATGAAGACAAAACAGATCAGCGGCCGTGAAATCCGAGAAAGGGAACCTCATTTTGCCCGTTGATTTACCCAT